CTCGTTCCTGAATTCTTCATGCATATCTGATTCGAGCCCAATTCACTAAAAATCCTTGTAAACTAGTCCCTTGACGGGCTAGTAGCGGAGTTTTATTGGTTCAAAGGGAGTTTCAAACTAGTTTGAGAGTTCAATTAAAGACCTTACGATCACGTGCCTAATGTTACATGTAGCTAATAAGTTGGGCCTTGAAGAACCTAGCGGCGGAGTTCTATTTTGAACTTTTCTTTTCCAATTTAGCTAGACATGCAAATGAAAACGAAAATGGAAACTTTTCAAATATAAGATTTTAGGATTTTAGCTAGACTGGAAAAAGAGAAACTATTCAATAGGGGAAATTGTTCAAAAAGTCCATCACATATCACTAGATGAATTTTCTCGTCCTTCACTTTTAAAATATTTATTTTAGTCCCTTATAAATTGAAGTTAGTAAAATTTTGTCACAATCTAAGTTTCCGTTTAGTCCCTTATGAGTTGAAGTTAGCTTGAAATCACTATGTGATTCATATGCAATCGTTTTTTATATATAAAAGATCAAATTTCACTTTTTTAGAAGCAAAAATGAATATGAATTAGATCGGATCCCACTTTTGAAGAGGAAAAATAAATATAATTTAGATCAGATCCTACTTTTTTAAGAGTCAAAATAATTATGGATCAGGTGATTTGTTTGACTATAAATGAGATTTAACTTTTTTGTCAAAAGAATAACGATCATATACAGGTTATGTAATGGATTTAGTGTAAAAAATGATCAAAATCTAGATTATGACTAAAATTTATCGGTTGATTTTGTGAGAGATGTAAAGTTACTATTTTAAAAGTGAAATAATTATGGATCAGGTGATTTGTTTGACTATAAATGAAATTTAACTTTTTTGTCAAAAGAATAACGATCATATACAGGTTATGTAATGGATTTAGGGTAAAAAAATGATCAAAATCTAGATTATGACTACAATTTATCAGTTGATTTTGTGAGAGATGTAAAGTTACTATTTTAAAAGTGAATGAGGAAAAAATTCATTTGACGAAACGTGAGTAACGTTTTAAATAATTTTTCCTATTTAGTATAGAGATTTTTCTAAATGGGACTATTGGCCACACTGCACGCTTTTATTACTTGTAATTATTAGATGAATGAATGCATTTACATTCATTGCTTAATTGATTTTACTCCTCCATTTCATTTTGATAGGTTTGATTTTTTTTCACGCAACATAAGAAAAGTTAGTTAACTTTATTGGACTAATAAATTTAATTTACTATCTTCCTAAAACAACATGCTTACAATTAGCTTATATTAAATAAATCAGGTCACACTTAATAATAACCGACATTAAATTAGGATATTTTAGAGAAATCATAAATTAGTTATATTTTTCAATTAAAAAATAAATTATTATTTGAAACGGATGAATTATTAAATAATACTTTCTCAAAAAATTAGACACTGTGGTCTCTTTCAACGAGTAACTATTGGGCCCCACTAACGATACCCTAAATGTCTTTATTAGATTCATTAACCGAACATTTCTCTAGAAATTTGTGGAGTATTTTACCTTTTACTGCTTGTTTTCTTTTAGCCTTTTTTTTTCCCTTGTCTTTTAAATCCATGTCGGATTATTTATGGGCATACGTGAGAACCTCTGCAAGTGAAAGGGTTCACGGAAATACAGTGTGGTTGAATGCAGTAGGAAAGCGAAGAAAATTACGCAACAAATATGTGGGAAGTCGATGGCCACAAGCCACAAGCCACAAGGTCAAGGTTCATGATCATCCCAACCATTCCCCAATTGCCAAAACCAAAAAGGCCAAAAAGCTTTTTAATTTTGTCCGCTAATTATATACTCCTTGATGGGGGAAACTTGGGAAACACATTTTAATCCTTGATGGGGTCCCACGTCACTAATTACACCCCAAGAGCCACACGTTCCTGCAAATCGAGACGCCATCGTCGTCCCTCTCCAGATTGTTGGCGAATTCCAATGCCTCTGCCGTCACGAAACATTTTCCTCATAAGTAAACAAATCTTCTCTCAAACCTATCCTTGACGTAAATAAAAGCTCTCGGCGCAGCGTAACCGCAAACTTGCTTGCACTCCATAGACAAATAGAGTATTGTCTGCAGAGCCAGGCAGGGAGGCCCATTCCCTTCATTCCCCCAAAAAATAATTCTTTACTAACTTCCCATTCTCAAGCCAATAATTACCAATTCTATACTTATTTTATTTCTGTCAACTGTTTAAAGCTTAGTCTTCAAGATTACTTCAGCACCTATTACAATCCAAAATTAAACTTATCGAATTATCCAAAACAATAGCATAAAGGAATTTTGTGACCTTTTCTTCTTAGCAACCAACACTCCACCCTTACTGTGTTCTAGCCCAGCAAGCAAAGCAGGACTATCTTATAAAATACTCTTTCTCTTTCTTGTGATGGCTTCCATAACAACACCTATTTCTCAATCCCAGTTTCTTCTCAAGAAACCAGAAAGTGGAGTGCTTAAAGCATCTCAATCCCAAATTTTCGCTAAACCCATCCCGGAACTTTCTCAAAGATCAAAACTTTTTGCTAGAAATTCAAGGATGGTGTTGCTGGCGGCGGCTTCTGCTGGCACTGCTTCAGCCGCTGAGAAGCATAAGAAGAGGTACCCTGGTGAGGCTAAGGGGTTTGTGGAGGAGATGAGGTTTGTGGCTATGAAATTGCATACGAAAGACCAGGCCAAGGAGGGTGAGAAGGAGCCCCGGGGGCAGCCTGTGGCTAAATGGGAGCCCACTATCGAGGGGTATTTGAAGTTTTTGGTGGATAGTAAATTGGTTTATGATACCCTGGAGAAGATTGTGGAGAAATCTTCTTTTCCTGAATGTGAGTAATCTTTACAACTCTCTTCTTCTATCTATTTGTTTCATTGAATTGATCAGGAATGCCCCCTGTCTTTTGACTGAGTATAAGTTGTGCTCGTAGTATCATTTCCTATTGTGTTTGAGTGGCCGTCGATTGAGATGTTCCGTTGGGCAGAATTGTGATTCTTGATTTAGAAGCATGCAATTTGGGGGTCTACTTATTCTGCATATTTTGTGGGTGCCATTGCGGAAGATCGTTATCTTTGTCAGATGAAAATCTTTTGCCAGGCTTTTCCTGCGTAATGCTACCCCTGCATTTGTTGGGATGTAAATCTAGTTTCTTCTTTCGTTTACGTCCTGGTGAGTTAATTGAGTCATAGCTTTTAAGGCTGAAGGATGACATCGGATAAAAATGTTAGCATACGATAGCTCTGCTTTTGTTACTCGACGACTACAATTCAGATATATCCATTACATGCTGCACAGAAGTTCAGTTTTGTCCATTGGAATTAAAAGTAGCTACAATGTGTGTTCGGGACATGTAATTTTGGGGCTTCATGAAGAGTAGGGAACATGATGACTCACCAATTCACAATTTTAAGTGACAGGAAAAACCAGAGGGTGCAATTATGGTTCACAAAGATGGTTGGTGCGAAATTTAGTCAGAAATTGTTACGATCTAAGCTATAAAATGAGATTATGTTAAGTTGCTTTGTCTTCTCAAGAACTTTATGCCTTATTTGGAGATTGACTTTTGATGAATGTGCAACACCATCATGGTTAAACTGTTAAATAGTTTTCTTGTTTGCTATCCAGATGCAGAGTTCAGGAACACAGGATTGGAAAGGTCAGAGCGTCTTGCAAAGGATTTGGAATGGTTCAAGGAGCAAGGTCATGCCATCCCAGAACCATCTACACCTGGAGTTGAGTATGCTCGGTATCTTGAAGAGTTATCAGAAAAGGATCCTCAAGCATTTATTTGTCACTTCTACAACATATACTTCGCCCATACAGCTGGTGGGCGGATGATTGGAAAGAAGGTGAGCAATTAGTTGGCTTACTTCTAAACTTTCTTCGCTATCTGGGACCTGTAACTTAATTGTAAGAAATGTTAGCTCACCCTATTATTCTAAGACTGACTGATGAGATTTTTTGACCATCATACTTGAGAATAAATCCGGAAGAAATTAGGAGTGGCTATTCTAATGTGTCTGGTATAACTTGGTGCTTTTTCCTTTTTTCCCCAACCCCTACTTTCATGCTTGGTTGATACATTTGATTCTTCCCTGAGCAAGGGGAGTGAGGGTGACTAATCTTTGTGGAACAGTGATTGAAATGCTGTACCTTCTGTAGGTACAGGCTCATGATTGTTTACTGAGGATGCAAGTCATATAAAATTGCAATTAAAAATTTCTGTAATACTTTTTTAATGTCATCTCTCCCCCCTGCAAAGGAGGGCAACGTTGAAACGAGATACTGATGTGGTTGGTTGCAATGGCTACAAAGGTTAGATAAATGTGCATGAGTCTGGTAATGAAGTCGATTCTTTTCTCTCTTCAGGTAGCTGAGAAGATACTCAACAAGAAGGAGTTGGAATTCTACAAATGGGATGGCGATCTCTCACAATTGTTACAGAATGTGAGGGACAAGCTAAATAGAGTTGCTGAGGTAACTTCACCTGAGGCCTACTTCCTCCTATTGTTGTGTTTTGGTTATGCAAGTATTGTCTCTAAGCTTGTGATCGGTGGTGGGTTATACGATACATCTGCTATCTGATACGCATTTTGTTTTTCGATTTTATTCAGAGCTGGACTAGAGAGGAGAAGAACCATTGCTTGGAAGAGACCGAGAAATCATTCAAGTTTTCAGGGGATATCCTCCGCTTGATATTGTCATGATAAAGTTTGTATAATAGAGAGGGCGCAAGCTCTACTAATTTGTTAATATCATTCTCAACTCGCACTCATTGTGATGTTATTATGCTTCACTAACTCTTCTATCAAATCTCCCCTTCTCTGTGAATGTGATGTGAAGAAAGGGGTGTTAAAGTTAAACACATGCATACTTCACACTTCTTTTTGCATTGGTAGCAGACTACTGTCATCGCTGCAGGGCTTTTTCCTCTTTGCTTTGATGAAATCTTTTGGAAATTGGGTTTGTCCCGTTCTTGGGCTATGATGCTGCGGTTTTCTGGTGTTTTTTTGGGTCTGTGTGAGAGAGGAATCGGGTTCGTTGTGGGCCTTATGCATGGAGGGTTTTGAGCATTCAGCTGTGATATTATTATTCGCAATCCAATTATCCAACTACGAAGGACCGAGTTAAGATGAGATTTATTTTGCATTGATGCTAAAGGCAGGTTTCTCAGGAATTCTGTGCCACTCCGTTCGGACTGGGAGGTCTCTAGGAAAAATATATTTTTTTTTGGGAATATATTTTAACATATTTTTTAATTATCCTTTTTTTTTAACCTTACATGATGAATTTTTTTTTTTTTTTTCCTACAAAAACCTCCCTAGAACGCCAATCCAAAATTCAGGGAGATGTCTAGAGTTGTCTTTACTGGAAGATTTGTCTACGTGTTGTGGATGAGCTGGACACTTTCAAAAGATTCTCTTAAACTACATATTTGTAAGCACGACAAGATCGGAATCCCGCGTATTCCAACCGACTCAAAGTCTCAAACTCGAATCTCAATTGGCTGAAGAATGGTTGCCGTCCATATGTCGTTGACCAACTATATGCCCCAGTGGCCGACGCATAAATGGCCGACGCATAAAAGCTGATGATCAGATCACTCAAACTCACGAATTGACTTAAAGCGCAGAATGTAGATTTCGATTCTCAACTTTGCCAGTTGGGAAAAACTTTCGTAATCCCTCTTCTGTGTTCGCTAAACAAAACGACCATTCCTGCCCAGAACAGTTCCCTAAGGCTGTATTTGGATTGGTGGATTTAACTGGATTTGGATAAGTGCAAGACTAATTCCGGTGGATTGCTGTGGTCTGCCCTTCTATATCGTTGCCTAATTCGAAGAGTTTCGCGGTAGCCCTCTGGGACACGGATGGTCCTGCCTTTGATATCATCATTTCTTGTTTATTCCAAAACCCTCTGTGTGTGTGTGTTTTTTTTAATTTCAATGAATGAAATCTATACGGGATGCGCATGAGCTGTTTGTGTATATGTTTGAATCATTCTGCTGGTCGGTCATAGGGAGATGAAAACGCTGTAAGGGGCATGTTTTAGACCATGCATTTCTAAATCACTTGTTGAATTTCATTAATTTCCAACCATGTTAAGCACTTTCCGAAGATTTTAAATCTGTCCATTAGAAATTCTTTGTTAGGTTCAAGTCCACCGATTCAAACAGATACAAGAATCAGAATTCAAAAATCGATTCCCTTTTGCCCGTACCATGGAATCAGAACTTCCTACTTTGCTGAACAGCCATGAGATTTAGAATAACTAAAATTGAAATTGGCACCCGTGGTCATTAAATTTTATTGGTCCTCTCATTGCTTGGCGGCGACCACATTCTTTCTTTCTTGCAGCCCCCATTCCACCAACGATTAACAAAGGAAATCTGTAGCTACTTTTTTCAGTGCTTCCTTTTTGTGGCTGCAAATTTTGTATTCCGCTTCCAAAAGAATCAAATCCCATTCTCCTGCGTTTACTTTCCAGGTGCACTTTGGACGAAGTACAACACATATATATATATATGTGCAGAGGCAAGAGTGCCGATTTATAAAGTCAGCTGCAATTGGCTTCTTCAGAACCCCTAAGCTCTTGAGCATTTTCTCAACCAACTTCAGATATCTGTTAATCTTCCCATCTTTAAGATATGGGTTACCTCAACAGTGGATCGGATGAGAATGTGCAGCAGACGGATCCTGCGGCAGTGCTACGCAACGGGAGAGAAATTTTATTGCAGGCCTTCAACTGGGAGTCTCATAAACATGACTGGTGGAGAAACATAGAGAAGAAAGTTCCTGATATTGCAAAATCTGGCTTCACATCAGCTTGGTTGCCTCCACCAACTCATTCATTCGCACCTCAGGGGTATACTCCACAGAACCTTTATTCTTTGAATTCTGCATATGGTTCTGATTATGTCTTAAAAGCTTTACTTAGTAAGATGAAACAGTACAAAGTGAGGGCAATGGCTGACATAGTGATAAATCACCGAGTTGGGACTACCCAGGGGCATGGTGGAACGTATAACCGTTTTGATGGGATTCCATTAGCATGGGATGAACGTGCAGTTACATCATGTACTGGGGGCCGGGGTAATAGGAGCACAGGGGATAACTTTCCTGGTTTTCCAAATGTTGATCATACTCAACACTTTGTTCGGAAAGATATGACTGACTGGCTACGGTGGCTTCGCTATGATGTTGGTTTCCAGGACTTTCGCTTCGATTTTGTTAGAGGCTATTCACCAAAATATGTGAGGGAATACATTGAAGGTGCGAAGCCAATATTTTCTGTTGGCGAATACTGGGATAGTTGCAACTACAATGGCTGTAACTTGGACTACAACCAAGACAATCACAGGCAAAGAATTGTCAATTGGATTGATGGTACAGGGCAACTGTCTACTGCTTTTGACTTTACAACGAAGGGAATTCTCCAGGGAGCCGTGAAAGGAGAACTCTGGCGCCTCCGTGACTCTCAAGGGAAACCACCAGGTGTTATGGGATGGTGGCCATCAAGGGCTGTCACTTTCATTGATAACCATGACACAGGGTCAACTCAGGCTCACTGGCCTTTCCCTGCTAGTCATATTATGGAGGGTTACGCCTATATACTCACACATCCAGGGATTCCATCAGTATTTTATGACCATTTTTATGATTGGGGAAATTCCATTCATGACCAAATTGTGAAGCTGATGGAGATTCGACGGTTTCAAGGCATACATAGCCGATCCTCGATAGAAATCCTTACGGCACAGCCAAACTTGTATGCTGCAATGATTGGTGAGAAAATATGCATGAAGATTGGAGATGGGTCATGGTGCCCAGCTGGGAGGGAGTGGACGCTTGCAGCTAGCGGCACCAGATATGCTGTCTGGCAAAAGTAGATCCTTTTCTTTGTTAGTGGACTGGGCCGGAACTAAGGGCCGCTTCGAGCTAACCTTCTTTGAATAAGGCTTTTAGTCCGTAATAAATTAATTCCAAGCGGCTATTAGCGGGTGAAATAAGAAACTGCTGCATACTTGGTTATACATTGTAATATTGTATCAGATGTTGTCTTATCTTGCGTCTTCTTTTTGTCATTTTACTTGATGACGAAATAAATAAAAATGGTGCTTGCAATTGCATATTACTTTGCTTCCTCTGAAATAAGCGTGAAAGAGGCAAAACATGTAACGGGAGAAGTCCCGTGTTAGTGGCACAATAATGGAAGACAACGTTTGGACCATTAACTTCTCACTTTTGACTCTATTTGAATTATTATTTTCAGAAGTTTTTATAGAAAAATGTATTGTAATAATTTGATATGCATGAGATGAAAAGATAATAATGATTTGATATATACGAGATAAAAAAGTAATTGAAAAATATCTTCACAAAAAATATAAACGTTTTCTTGCGAAAAATCACAGTCCAAACATTTTGGTGGCGGCCAATAGCGGACCTATGGTCACCTTTGTTTCTCTTCGGGGAATGAAGAATTTGTTCTTCTTTACACAAGGTCCAGTGGCTGTGCGCGCCATTGCCAGTTTTCTCAAGAATCTTTGAAGTCATTACCGGTTGTTTTTGTATTTTCTTTAGCTAATTCCAAATGTCGTAATTTCTGCCCTGTGGATTTGGCGTCCAGTGCCATGTAGGGGCGCCATATTTACTTGTGAAAATGGTTTAAATCAAAGAATTTACCAAACCTGCTACTAGTAAAATAATTTAAGAATGACAGTGCCACGATCCACTCTGCTACTAGTACTAGTAGGGAGATTTGAGAGTTGAATTATTAGCATTATTATTATTATTATAAGGCAGCTGCGTAGCTGCACCCTCATCACTCTGTTCTGCTCCAGTCCGCAGGTAGAAGGTAGTAGTAAAACCAGTACGTAATTGACAAAGCAATAATCCCCCGGAAATGGCCAAACCGCTCCCAGATTTGCTTCTCCTCTTTGCCTCATTCCTAGCTGTTGTGATCACCATTTCTGAGGCAAGATCCCTTCCTCCTCCGACGTCAACACTCCTCCCTCATCTGCTCAAATCCTTCAAGATCAAACCCAACCAGGTAATCTAAAAATCTTTAAATTCCCCCGACCCCCTCGCCAAGTAATGAAAATTTCTTGTAATTCCGATCAAACCCATTTTCTCATAACAAAATTTTATTAATTGTTGACTTGGTTGGTAGAGCGCTGCAAGTGCAAGGAGCTGTTCCTACACCGTGACCATCAAGACCAGCTGTTCTTCTTCATCTTACACCAGAGACAGAGTCAGTCTTGCATTCGGTGATGCCTATGGCAATGAGGTCCGGCGATCAGTCCAGTCAGTGACAACCAAAACCCCCCCAACAAAAAAAAAAATCCTAACTTGTTAAAAAGGACGTATCTTTTTGGTAGATGCTGCAATTTTAGCTAGTCTGCATTAAAAAATCTACATCTAAAACAAATCCCACTTTCTGGATACTTATTCATTTTTAGTTGTTCGAAACAAGATCCATTTTATTATTTTTTGGGTTAAAAACATAAAAGCCCCCTGTGGTATAGCTATTACACATAAAAATCCCTCGTAGTTTCAAATCATGCCTATCGGTACCCCATGGTTTGAAAGAAAGTGCATTTTCGACGGAAATCGTTAATGAAAACGCGATTATGAACCACGCGCTGAAAAAGAGCGTGGTTGCTTCGGAAAATGATTTTTTAACTCAAAGTTTGAGCTGATATTCCTCTTGTGCCCTTGACAACTTAATAAAACTTGATTTCCAATCATTTTCGTCGGACTTTGGAGAAACCCAGCTTCTTTGACCGAAGGTTTCTTCAAGCTCTCGTGCCTCAGGAGGAAAATCTGTAGGCTTGTGCCTCCTTAAGTGCAAGTTTCAAAAGGTAAAACCTTTAACCATTTGGAATATCACTAAATTCTTATAATGAGCTCTATATTTTTGTTTGTGTAAATAGTGAAAGGAATAATTAAGAAACCGTACGATGATGTCTTCCTCAAGCTCTCGACCAGGCAGTGGGGGAAACGGAGCTAGAGATCTTCGATACCAGTACAAGATGTGTAATTGTCGAAGGAAGGCGAAACTAAAGATTGTTGAGTCAGAAAAGCCATCAAAGGGAATGTTATATTTTGTGTGTGAAAAAGATGAATGTAGGTTCTTTTCTTGGTGTATTCCCATTTACAGAGATGAACCAGATCGGGAAAATCAGTTTGTGAGCCAACCTGTTGCAGAACATTCCAATGTGGATGGCGTGCTCTCAAAACTGGAAAATTTGGATAATGAGTTCAAGAACTTAAAATTGCTAGTTAGAGGTTGTGTTATGGTATCTGTTTTTTCTATTTTACTGTTGTTGATATCTACCAAATAAGACTCTGGAATTTGGTAGCCAGTTGTATGGAGTTGCTAAAGCTGATCATTTGGCTGTTTCAGCTAGAACCTTGTAATGCTATGCTTTCTTGATGAAGTATAATTCGACTGTTTCAACTGCTTTCAAAATGTTGTAACTTAAAACTTTGAATAGAATACTCATAAGCAGCAAATGTTTTAGAAAAATGAACAGAAAAAATAAAAGAGGCACGAAGTGCCATTATTCGTGCCTTTACAGACAAAAGATTTCCAGACGTTCAATAACCTGTAAAATAACTAGTGATCAAAGAGGCACGAAGTGCCATTACAGACCAAAGGTTTAGCACTTGGTAGAAAATTTCTGTAAAATAACCTGGCTGCACAGAGAACTTCATTCAAAAGGTACAACCAAATAGTGGCAACTACTGCCAAGTCAAGTGTACAAAAAATTAGACAAAAGAATTCCAGACGTTCTGCAGGCAACCAATCATTCTGCAGGCATCATTACAACCAGACGTAATATTCCAAAATGAAAGTCTAAATACAGATAGGCAAATATTAGGCAAGTAATTAAGGCTGGACAGCTTTTGCTCTCTTTGGCCTTAACTTCTGCAGGACATCAGTAACAGTACGAGCCAGAGCTCTTTTTGTTGGTGCAGTGGTGTCATCAGCCCTGCTACACCCTTGGTTTGTACCAGCTACAGACTGAAATTAAAACAAAAAGACAATTTAGAAATGTCCCACTGAACTGATAAGTCTTTCAACCAGTGAATGTTATGGAAGGAGTGTACACCTTCCGAGCCTTAGTGCTTGTCTTTGTAGTAGTCCCGGTTGCAGCAGCCTCTTCAGTAAATGACTGTGGTTCAGTAGATGACTCAACAATTGGCTGTGATTGCATGGAAGCTGTAACACTTGCTTCAGGTGCCTACAAAGAGCATTTAACATTAGTAATAATAAATACAAATGCTGTAACAATGCCATTTAAGTGTACAATGAAAGATTACCTTGTAAAATTTGGAGTTAGGGTGAATGGGATTCTTGCACGTCCGTGAGTTATGATTTGGTTGAAAACACCTCTTGCAATGCACAGATAGACCCTTTCTAGTAGATATTTGCCCCTTCTTAGGCTCATCTTGTGCTCTTTGACGCATCTTCTTTGGTCTGCCAGGCATTCTCCTAACTGCAGGGGGGTTTAAGCCCTCTTGTTCACATGTTATCCAGTAGGTATCACTTGGAACAGGTGTGATAGTGTGTGCATATGTCTTCAGATATTCTACTCTAGTGTAGCAAGCATGAACATAATCGTTTATAGGTAATCTACACACTCCTATTGCAGCACATGCATGGGCACAAGGATAACCTGTTAGTTGAAAATAACCACAGGTACAAGTCCATTCATGCAAATCAACCACCACACATTTTCTCGGACCACAATCTATCTCATATTTCTGATGTCCGTCCCATGTCGCAACAAATGTCCGGCTCAACCTTTGATTCTTATCAATCTTTTCTGCTATATTTGGACAGATTTGTCCATGAAACTTTTGCATTCCAGATCTTTTTGTTTGAATTCTATGCATCAGCTTCCTCCTTATCCATTCAAGCATCCCAATGATTGGTAACTCTCTTGCTTCTAATATATAATTGTTGAATGACTCATTTAGGTTGTTCACTAGAATGTCACACTTACTACTTCCTCTAAAATGTGATCTACTCCACAGAGTTGGTGGAATCCGGTTCAGCCATTCAGCAGCTTCTTTGTTTGCCTTTTCCAAGTCATTCATTGCCACCTTCCATTCCTTTTCATTGCCAACACTTGCAGCAGCCCAGAACATGTCTTTCATTTCCTTTCCTTTGAACTTTTGGTTGAAATTTTGGTACATATGTCTCAAGCAGAATCTATGTTCCGAATCTGGAAAAAGTTCATTCACAGCATGTACTAGCCCTTTCTGTCTATCTGAGATAAATGTCTAAGGAATGTTATCCTTTTCCATGCCCAAATCAGCCATTAACAACTCCAAAAACCATTTCCAGGAGTCATACCTCTCTACCTCAACCACTGCAACTGCTATTGGCACCATGTTGTCGTTGCCATCTCTCCCAAGAGCAGACAGTAATTGGCCACCAAATGCTGTTTTAAGAAAACAGCCATCTAGACCAATTATTGGTCTACAACCATCAAGAAAACCCTGCTTGCATGCATGCAAGCAATAATATAATCTTTCAAATGTCCCATTTGAACCTTCAGTTGGTCTGTCCATCTGAATCTTGATAGTACTTCCAGGATTTGTGTCTCGGACTGTCGCTGCATAACTCCAAAGTTTCTGATACTGCTCCATGTCCGTACCAAGCATCAGATCCTTTGCCTTACGCTTAGCTCTGCCGACCTTAGCAATTGAAACATTGATCATTAAGTCTCTCATGATGTCATTCTTCAGCCCCATCAAAGCACCTCTTGGATTATCCCTAATCTTATCTTGATACTTGATGCTCAAATATGCAGCTGTTGCATGCTTGTTTTGATACTCTCGAGCACACACATGCTCACCCTTCAATGACTTTATTTGAAAGGTTGATTCAAATTGAATTGGTGTTGCACGAATCCTCCATGTACAGCCTTTCGCACACTTGGCAATAATTTTCTTGGAGTAGTTTTTCACCCAAGTAACTTCATATCCTTCTCTGACTAGCCATTCACGCAACACAAATCTGAACACTCTGAAATTAGTAAACTTCTGCCCCACTTTCAGCTCAAAGTTTGGCTTCTTAAACTCAACTTCAGGATTAAAGTCAAGGCAATCATCATCTTCTCTACCATCACATCTTTTTGCATCCAACAACTCCTCATCCGAAATCACTGGTTCCTGCCAATTCTCTTCAATGACATCATCATTCACTTCTTGTTGTATGCCTGCTCTCAAATCTGGATCTCCAACTGTTGAAGGGTCTTTTTCAGTTCTAACAGCTTCATCTTCTGATGGAATTTGTGATGGTATTTGAGTTGAAATAGTTGGTGGAATTTTCTGAATCACATCAGGCCCTTTTTGATTGCTTGGTTTTACTTGTCTTTTTCTTCCTTGCATCCGCACTTTTAGCAGCACTTTTTTCATCTTTATTCTCAGCAAATGAGAATACGTGCAGAGGGAGTCTTGCTGAAACAGTGGCCCCATCAGCTTTGTCCTTGTCTCCATCAGCTTTTTGGTTGTTGCCTCCACTAGTTATATTGGTCTGGTTGTTGTCTCCTGCGGCATCTTTCTTGGGTGCAAATATGTCCTCATCTTCTATTGTTTCCAACCCCTCTTTTAACCATTCTGGCTCTTCATTATCATCAGTACTTGTATCTGTCCCTGTAGTAACTATAGCTACCCCACCATCCTTTGTATCACTGCCTTTCTTTTTTATTGTTGTATTGCTGGATGTTTCCTTTGTAGATGTACCATCATTGACCCCACCATCTTCAGGCTCTTTTTCAAATGGCTCATCCCCACTACAAGCATAAATTAGTCTTTCTGGTGTCCCCTCATATGCCAAATTCATCAATTTAATATCATCATTGTTTCTAATTGGATGTAGGCCACCATCCAAATCAACAAAGGGGGCACAAAACCAAAACGTTACTCTCGTTGCTCCTTCATCTACTTTCTTAAACATTCTGCACAAACTCACTATGTCTACCTTATCTTCAACTCTTTCTTTGAAAATAGCCATGTGGGTTCCCGTGTAGTGGAGCCTTGGTTTTTCTTTGAATTTTCCATCAAAGTACATCTTTATGTCTACTTTATCCTTGCTGTTCTCCTCTGCTATTGCATGACAAACAATAAAGTACTCATTTTTCAGTAATTTATCTTTCACAATTATACAAAAAGCTAACATAATACAACAGATCCAGAACAAATAATTCATTATACATGAGATGGGGGACCACATTTGACTACAACATGTTTTCATTAACTCCTGAAAACTGATAACGATACAAATTTGGACAGATTCAGTCTTCTGCCAACTACTCTAATTCGATAGTACAACAGATTCAAAGACGAACAACTTAGTTGACTGAGATTCAAAGACAATCACATATTCAGATTCAGCAACTAAGAATGTCCGCTAACAACTCCAGATTATAAGGCTTTTCTTTTTCGTAGTCAACCAAAGACAATATCCTAACAAATTTGCCAATTGATAATCAAAATAGCAAATGTAGGGCATACTTCGAAAACCTTAAATTCATTAACAACATTAATATATATATCAAAAACCTTATTTTTGTTAAATAATGACCTTAAAATGTAGTATGAAACCAGTAAATCACAATAAAAATCCCAAACTACCCCAAACCCCAAATCGAAATAGATGAGGGACGGCATACAAACCCATTTTTCTTCGATTTTTTCAGCAAATCTTCACTTCCTTGTAGTTCCTGTCGCTGTCGGAGTTTGATTGCTATAACAATCGGGAATTTGGCTGATAATTGTCTCTCTCTCTCTCTAGGGCTTTTTCTTTGTTTCTCTCTTCGATCGTTCTATCTCAGCAAACTGACTAATTCCTTCAGCAATTTTTCGCTTATATCGTTAGGGCATTTATGTCTTTTCACTGACCTCCGTTTTCATTAACGATTTCCGTCGAAAATGCACTTTCTTTCAAACCATGGGGTACCGATAGGCATGATTTGAAACTACGAGGGGTTTTTATGTGTAATAGCTATACTACAGGGGGCTTTTATGTTTTTAACCCTTATTTTTTTTCTTGAATTTGATGAAAAATTGATGATGTTATTGCTTTTTTGTTCGGGTAGGTGTATGCAGCGAGATTGGACGATCCCTCATCGAGGTGCTCCACGGACACATTTAGGATACGAGGACCCTGCACCTACGACGTCTGTTATCTCTACTTACTGAGGGTAGGATCGGACGGTTGGGAGCCGGAGAGCGTGAAGGTGTTCGTTCCTGATGGGAGGGCAATTACCTTCAATTACAACACATTTCTGCCTGATGGAGTTCGGTTTGGTTTCAACCATTGTAATGGGGGATCTGCTGCCCTGCTTATGTAACAATTTCAAACTTTCCCACCTGTCTTGCCCTGTACAACATCGTTTTTACGGTTGGATTTGGCAGAATGAAATACTACGTACTTCTTTTGTGAGATTTTGTATTGTATTATTATTTTTCTCAGTGTTATAGTAGTAGTATTATGGTATGGAATATGGATGGATGGATGGATTTTTGGTATACTTTCCGCCCCATATTTGGGATGCCCAGGGCAATTGCTTTCTTCGTATCGTTATAGTTTTAGTGACTTCCGCTTTCGTGGGCATTTCATTGGTTTGCCTTTGCGTGACAAATAAGGTGATCGGCATCTTTAAACCACAAAAAAAGAGGTGTTATCAGCATCTATCTGATTCCGTCATTGAACGGGCACCCAACGCGCCTGTAGCTCAGTGGATAGAGCGTCTGTTTCCTAAGCAGAAAGTCGTAGGTTCGACCCCTACCTGGCGCGTTTAACAGATGTTTACCTCTTGAAGTCTTATTATAAGACATTCAGACTTTTTAACCCGCTGCTATCAGTGTATATGAACAATCAAATGAAAAAAAAAAAAAACAGCATATTGTTTTAGTCAAAACCAAATATTTTGGTTGGAGGCTTTTCTTTCTTCTCCACCAACAGGAGGCATCTAACACTTTAAGACCAATGACTGGAAAACACTAATCGTCGATAGTGCTCATGATTCCGCCAATAAAGCCAGCACCATTACAGTTGCCGCACAAAATCTGCTTTTTACCTCTGCAAAAGTAGTCACGGAAGAGCACAACCCAGTTAATACTCGATTTGGGCAAGTGAACAATGCTGCGAAGATAATATGGGACAACACAAAAATGCATTTCTATCCTAAATCATTCTTCACATAAGAAGGACATAAAATCCTGAAAATACAACTTCCCTTGTCAGCGCCAGCCAGGTATACCACTCTCCCAATCCATTACTTGCAAATCAACAATTTTGCAGAAAAAGATAAGGATAGACAAAAAGGGGGATAGGTGTTCCTCTTCCTCAGCCTGATACCAAACGCTTTTTGAGGTTTACAGGTTTCATATCAAGTTACAAGGCATGGGCACCATATGTTGACACAGTTGCTCAAGACCACAGACAGCCTGATGGAGCATGCAGTGGGAAAAATGAAGGCGGTGAAGCGGAAACAGTAATGGCAATAGGTTCTCACAAGTATTAATTAAACCATGGGATGGAATGGAGGAAGGATGTATAGGGCCACCAAATATATGCATGGTGCAGGTACCAGTTTAAGGGAGGATATCTGATCACAACTCTGAGAGAATTACAGGTGGTAAGCCAGAGGAAAATAGCAGTACACATTTTTATGGAGGTGGGATGGAGGATATGTGGCTCCTCAATCTCATCCAATCCTAAATCTATTACTTATATTTTCCATTGTTATCTTATACTCTTTTCTTTGTCTTTCCTAATTTATTTACATCATGTTTATCTATGTCTGAAAAATATGGACGATCTTTTACGACTGTTGCGAGTTCACTTTCTGCTATTGTTCTCTTTTTGCAGTCGGAGAGCAGGTGTAGTCGCAGTCAAATCTCTAGGGCTATCAATAGTATAGAGCTAGCCTGAAGGGGTAGATGTAACAAATGACTGCTTTTATTTCACTGATAACTAGGGGAACATCCAAAGCTCGGGGTTTTCATGTTTTTGGGTTGAATAAGATAAGATTGAGGAATATGATACTTGAACGACATACCTGCAAAGCCAACATAATCCACCAGCCTTGAATTGTCCATTGAAGTGATCAACAGAGTTGACTCCTGAACCTTTGCATTGCTTACATGAAACAGCACCTAGAGAAACAGCAAACGCAGTGCTCCATAAGATGTAGACCAGGAAAACTTAATAAAGTACTGCTTCTTGCTTAAGCAAGGAAATGGAGGTTAAAATCATACTAAGATTGGCCTACGACCAACAATTTGCAGGATTTTGTGGCTTTTACTTCAATTTCAGTATATCATAAGTGACTCAAGTTCATCAAAGACCTTGTCGATATACATCTATTAGCATCACGTCGGTGAACGAGTCCAAATGGCACATTTAACAACTAAATACAGGAACAGCTAGTCCAATTGTAAACGGTTCTTGCAATTATAGTTGTCAATAAATGCTCATAAATATTTTCTTTTTGCATAACACTATAAGAAGAATTAAGAAATTGATGCAATTCAACGCCTTCAGGTGGTGGCAACTTGAAAGAAATAAATAGTTACTTCAAATAGCCACAAAGTCTTAATCAGTTTCATTACCATTTCCATCACATTCAGCACAGACGATGCTATTTGGTTTGGTCCTTTGGTCACTGCCTGCTGCCTATTAAATCAAAATGAAAATGCATTATGGTGAAATGACTTATAGGGCACTCTCAATTGGTAACTAAGAAAGATCTGTAAATAATACTTAAAACAAGAGAACAACCAGCAAAACTACATTGTTATATAGTGTTGAATGCATAAATCCATTGATTCAATAGGTTGTTGAATCCAAATAATGCACTAAACAATCATTTCAGTGCATGCAAAATCATGTTGCAGAATAGGTCAAAGGGGCTAAAATAGCAGAGAGCTTCGCTTCCTAGCACAAGGTCCATCCTCATTATGTTCTCCTCTGAGCATGCAGTTAACAAGACTAATGCTCATTTAAAAACTCAAGGAGGATGCTTGTGCTAATTTACTCTGCTCATAAAGCGGCTTCAAAAATCAGACTTTTGTGCCTAGAGTTTCTTCACAAAATCAAAGTATAGCAGCAAACGAACTCTGTTTCCATCTCAAATGCAGGAAGAAGAAATTAGCCAATAATTGGTATTATGCAAGTTTATTGGAGCAATTACCGAAGGAGATAATGTAGTGTTGGTTCTTGAGTTCAGAAGTTAAAGACTATTGAAACTTGAGACAACCAAAATGTGCGAAATGAACACTTACCTTGACCTCTAAATTTTGCAAATTAGCAGCATTTTTAGAGCTATGAGTCACATCATTCATCCACTGGACCTTTCTACCATTGCACCGGCCAAGTGTAATGCCTAAAAAGAATTATCAACAATTCAAAATCCCATCAAACAAAAAATTAACTTACAATAACTCGAAAGATATCAACTTTCCGTTTAATAGAGTCATCTTGCAAGCTTACACCCAGGAATACTCATCAATTGAGGAGGAGGAGGAGGAAGTTTTGACAGTTTACAAAGAAGAGGTCTTACCATAGAGAGAGGGAGAGAGGAATACCTGGCTTATTAGTGGGTTTGAAAGATATGAGAGGGGTGAAACACAACGAATTTGACATTAAAACAGAAAGAAAAGAATCTTCGCTCTTCAGCAAGCAAAACGAGTGACGAAGAATGAGCAAATGTGCTGGCAGTCAAAAGAAAGCAAGAAACTCTAGGAAGAGAAGAATGTGGCTGTGAGGATGAAGTGAGGCCAAGCGTTGGTGGCAACGAACGTGAGCAGCAGAAGCTGCCAACTGGATAAGGTTTTACGTTTTTTTCACTTCCAATGCCATTTTTACTCAATTACAAAAAAACCCTTGTCGGGGGAATTCCATTTATTTATTTATTTTTTCAAAGTTTGCATCTTAAAAGTCCTAAGCCACTGAACCTCCAGCTTCTTTGTTTTACAAATTTAATCAACTTTCAACTGCATGTACTCATTATATTCCAACATGACAAAAAACTTGAGAAATTTTTGTGTACTTCGATTTTATTAAAAAAAAGAAAAAGAAAGAGGGCAGAGAAAATGAAGAAAAATCTTTTGCCTAAGTTAACCGAGGACAGAAGAGTCAATGGGAATTCTTCATCAATGACAACTCCGCGAAAGCACCGCCTCTCACTCCTTAATTCAAAAAAAAAAAAATTTTTTCTAGTTAATCTCTTTGCGACGCCAAGAAAGCAGAGCGAAGCAGCAGCAAACATGGAAAGCACTCTGTTATCTCTGTCTCGCTTCATCCCCTCGCCAAGTAAGCATTTTTGTTAACCCATCATCTGCTACACATCAGTTCTTGAAAGCCATTTTTCTTTTGGGCGCAGAAATGAATTACTGTATTTTCAATTCTATTATGTGCAGATAAAGAAGGGGGCAGACTTGTATTAACCACAATCCAGAGCTCATTTTACGGCAAAATGATGAGTGGACGCAGTTGTTTTTGGGGAAGGAATTATAATAGTGTCAGTGGTGGCAACAGAAGCAGTCTCGTGATCTCTGCTGTGGTTCATATTTTCTACTGCTTCATTCTTTCTCCCTTTCTAATTCCAAAGTTCTAATAACGTTACACGAGTTAAATTAGTATTCGAATCGATTGATGAGTATTCAAGTGTTGAGTACATGGGATTTTGTTCTGACAGCTGGGAAAGAAAATCAAGAAAGAGACTGTAGTTCCTGAGCCCGATTACCGAATTCCTATTGTTCTTCTTGGTAGGTCACAGGCGCTAAAACAAATTTACAAGTGATTAACATTATGGCACGATGTTGTTTAGGTCTCTTTGAGGTTGCAAGATTGTGTTCATCCTCTTATATCCTCTGATGTTAATGGTTCATAGTAGTTTAGCACGTTATTCATTACACACCTCACCTCAGGTATCAAATCGCTGTTGATGGTTACATTATCAGCTTGTCTTCTATTCCCTTCACAATTCAATACAGATCATGCCTTTCATATTTGCTGTGGTAACATTTGGTATGATAAAACAGGTTTTGCTGGAGGTTTAATCTATGCAGATAACCTGTTAGGAGCAGCTCCTGTAGGACTACTTGGGTTGCTCCTATTAGTCCAGGTATATATGGTGACCATATACAGTAGTTACCTCTGCATAAACCCCACAATCACGAGTAATCAACATGACTTTTTTTAGATTAGGCTTGACTGACATAGTCATTGTCTCTACTGCTTGGCACCAAAATCTACACGAGTAATAGCGTTGGTTGTCTTGCTCTGTGGCCAAAATGGTCAACTAACAACACCCTTCATTTCCTTCTTTCAGACGACTAGAGTGAGGTTTGTCTTTGATGAAGAGGCCCTGGTTTGTTTACTCACTCAACCCTTTTCGCATGCAAGCAGCTATTTTATGTTTATGGTTCAAGGAAAGAGAACTTAGTTACTTACAAATTAATGATATGGCATTGCATTGTCCTATCTCATTTGTTTGAGTTTCTGATCATCTTGCTGTACTTCCTTTTCAACTTGTACTTATTTGTCTTGTTCGTCTAATGAGTAATGGCACACGATGCCTCTCTAGCTTTCCTTCTGAATTCTGATTCAGTTGCTTTCAGCTTGTTAAGAATACTGAGTGTTGGAGCAAGCTAGTGCTCTGCATATGACAAGTTTGTACTTTATTTTAGATGGGGTTGAATTCTAGATCTCTACATTAGTCCTAGGAAAATATACTTCATTTTTCTTCTTCAATTTACAACTCTCTCATATCTTGTCTTTAGGAGGTGAAAGTAGGAGAGCAGCTTGAGGAGTCTGGTGAAAATTTTTTTGTGGGCGGAAAAAATCGGTGGAAGTGAGTAGGGCTGCTCCGCTTTTGTTCATTTAAAACCGTTAGAAGTTAGAACTCATCTCACCTATTGGTTGTAACAGATACTCAACATTTGTGAACTGGGAGCTTTGGTGGCCAAATTTTCCAATCCTTGTCTATTTTAAGGAGACGCAAACAAAACCTGAGGGACAAATCCACTTTTTCCCGGTTATATTTGTGAGTATTCAAGAGTCACTGGGACTTGAAATGGAGCATTTATGGATTCAAGTCACGAGCTTGAGAGCAATATAATCAGAGCATTAATTCCTTTTGTTCTTTTGTTTGTGTGGGCAGAATGGGAAGCAACTCTATGATGTTATGGTGGAAAGGTGTGGCCCTTCACAAACTAGTTCTCCCAAAGAATCCTAAGCCCGGAGTTTTCAAGGAAACTATGAGCCTACCCTGTGTCCTCTGTGATCACCTAATATTACAAGGCCCTGTAATACTACTAGCTCTTTAGGAATCTTCCTGTAAAATTGTGAAAGGTGGAAATAATTCAATAGCAACATGTAATTTCACTTTATGTCACAATAGATTTCTTTTTGCCTTCAAGACATTTGCTGGTATTTATTGGATACCTAGGCTTCAAATTGAGTCGACCTTTTAGGCTTATTTTCTGCTTTGGAACCATGTTATTCATAAAAAGCTTATCGAGATTGTTGAACTTGATAGCTAGTAAGACCGTACATTCAAACCATATGCTAGTATACTGATATGCTTTGTACTATCCACTTAGGACCACGGCTACCTTCTTTAATACTTGTAAATGGTCTCTCTGTGAATTGCAAAACTAGAATGTCTCGTCTTGGCGCAGAATAAAAAAGAGCTCCGAGTAGCTTTGCTACCACATCTCAAACCTTGAAGTTCGAAAGAAACGACAATATATTTCAATTCTGTTCAGAACAACGTACTTGTAAACACACAGAAAACTTCAAAGAGCATAAATGAGTATGCAAAATCTCAAAGGTCTGAAAGGCGATATTGACCCATTGAAAAAAAAAACAAAAATCATCAAGGAGACATTCTCCTACCACCAAACAGGACAAACCCCCCCCCCCCCCCTCTCCCAAAAAAAAAAAAAAAGGGAAAAAAACCCAAAACCAAGAAAGAAAAAAACACATAACCCAAAAAGCAGAAACAAAAGCAGCCAGCCACTGTATTCACTGGAAACTGCGATGCTGCAGCATGCATTGGAAAAAGAATAGAATAATAACCAGCCTCTACAAGATCACAAATCGGGTTGGATGTTAAAATGAGTATCCAACTGAAACCAAGCATGTGAATTGGTTTATCACTTCCACTAATCATCAATCAACCAACTCAAGTTTCGGCCGATGATATAGTAGTTCTCATGACATTGCTGATAATAAGCTCGGAGCAATCGTCAATTCCTTTGCCTCTGCAATAGAGTTTACTGAAACCAAACCACATGGCAGATAAGCATGACTTGAAACTGATAAACGTCACCATCGTTCTTACTGAGCTGTCATGGTGAATTTCCTGTGGTTAGGACCACCTTGTCATTCTGTTTTTGTGCAATGTGCATCTGTACCATGCTGAGTGCAGTCATGATAGCCCAGACTGTGAAGAAACTCCCGAATCTCTTTGGCACTACTATTGCTTGCTTTCAACAAGCGCTCGTCTTCCTCATATATTATGTACGGGGCTTCCCCCTTATTTCTTGATAGCAGCTTTGAGGCACCCTTCAGTACGTGGTACTCCCAACCCTGAACATCTATTTTAAGCAGGAGCACGGGCTCAGACTCTTCAATCACTTCATCCAGTGGAATTGACTTGATTTGAAGTGCAATCTCTTCGTTGGACTTAAATGCCATTTTGGCACCAGTGGCCGAGACTGCACTGTTGTCTAGCCGGCCGACTAACTAGCAGCAGGAAAGCAAAAGCAAATATTAAGTATTGAGCATGGATGAAGACATTCCAAAACAAGTCCAGCAAAATACAGGATAACTTCTATAAAAGAAAAATAACAGATTAATGTTTGGTTGGATCTCTGGATCTGCCACCACCTTGGATTCAAGAAGATGCTTTTGTACACAGTAGACCAATCATAAACTAATAAAATATTTCACCACAGCTGTCCCTACCTAAGAATTTGAAGAAAGAAGCCCATCAAAAGAAATATGCTCTGCATACCATCAGTTAAAATTACAATACCTTAAAACAATTGTGCATAATTTTGAACAGAATTACTGATCAACAGACTGTAATATTGATCACAGAGCAATGCGGGATGATGATTGGCCAACTATTATAAGAATTGTTGTGTAGCTGGTCTCTACTCTCTACTAGTCTTCAAGGAAGACATTTCAGGGCTCTATATGGAAAAGGCATCTTGCAGATTTTGACACAATAACTAAGCATGTCTGAATCGACAAGCTTGATTAGGTTTCTTGTTGATGAAACTGAAAAGCTTTATGAGCTATAGTATTTGACCCAAAAAAAAGGAAAAAAAAAAAAACTATGTAAGACTTGTCATTGGTGGTGGATCCAACAGCTTAGCAAAAGATGTATAACTTGAATTTCTCCATGCACTGTTTCTAAACTTTGGTAGACAAGACATTAGCTCAAAGGGATCTAAACAAACTATACATACTGCAACCGCTCAAGGAGAAATGAACAAATTATACATATTATAAATACCAATTATTGCTTAAAATATGAGCTTTTGACAATAGATAGGGCTTTAAAAGTATGAGGCATAACCACAGACAGGTGGATCAAACCATCCACTGTAACAGCTTATGTTTGTGCAAATAATTAGGAGTCCAGAAGTTGACTTCAGACTACTAGTGCATTTTCCAAGTTAATGTGACTTTGACACTTAAATGTTATGAAAATATATGGACTGACCTATTTAAGTGCAGAAACAGTTATTTTTACCAGTCATCCAAAATTCTTCTGAGGCTTTCATGACTTTGTT